CCCTCAAGCACCCTATTGAGCATGTTCCTCTATGGGATTAGGGCTGGAAAGCCTGGACATGGGTTCCTCTCATCTTGGGGTGGACGAACTCCTCCTGGGCAGGGTGGACTGTGGACCCCACTCCTCCTTTATTGCCTGGGGAGCTGCAGCTTGTCCAGGAGGGGTCACCTCTGCTTTCCCCCCTGAGATCACCAGCCTTGAGCACTGCAAGGTGTGGCTGTGCTGCCCTCAAGGAGCCAAATATACCTGTGCCCTCGAGAGAGGACACATCAGCATGGAGGCAGGGAGAGAGGCTGCAGTGATGTGCACAGCACAAGTGCAGGAAATCAACTGGGCCACACTTGCCCTCCTACTGGGGAGGCTCTGATGGAGGGGGCTCAGGGGGGATTGTGCCACGCAGCATCTCCAGCCCCACCCCGCAGAGCACACAATAGAACCACTGCTCCCCACCAGCCTCCACCCCCTCCCAGCAGTCCAGCTCGGCCAGGTCGGGCACATGGAAGAAGGTTGTGCTGAGCTCTTCCAGCCCACTCCAACCATGCTGCCACAGAGTCAGGCGCTGGTCCACAAAGGCGGAGAGCAGCAGGTCCAGCTGCAGCACCCAGATCCCCATCACATGCGCAGCATGGGCACAGGGCTGGGCCACCCGCTCCAGAACGTGCAGGCAGGTCCCCGCCATGGGGTTGTCCCCATCTAAGGTCACCTCCAGCAGACAGCCATGGATGGAGCCGTCGTCATTGCTGCTGACCACCAGGTACCGTCCCTCCAGTGTCTCATAGATGTGCAGGCTGTTCACACCACAGCTATGGGCCATCACAGTGAGCAGTGGGGCTCCCAGCGCTGGAGAAACAGGGTCAGTAGGAGAGTGATGCTCACCTTGGTCATAGGGAGCAGGGGAGCCACCAGTGTGGCATCTACAAGAGGCACAGCAGAGCCACTGGCCAATGCACTCACCCAAGGGCTTCACCTCTCCCTCTGCTTCATTCAAGGCATGTGCAGCCACAATGGGGCTGGTGATGTCCCAGAAGGCGATGCTGCCGTCAGTGGCTGCGCTGCACAGGAGGTGCCTCCTGGAAGGGAGGTGTCAGGGAGCCTCTATCCACAGCCCTGCAGGTCCCCACCATGATCTGGGGAAGCAGAACAGTCCCAACAGGCTGATTTCACCCTTCCCTCCACCCGCTGCCACCCCTGCAAAGACCAGCACTTCTCCCCAGAGCCCCATGGGCTGCAGCGCAGCGTTCCAGGTTCACCTCTCCCCTCCTGCCCGTGTGTGCAGGAACGCCTCCACCTTCAGCACACAGCGCAGGTGGTGAAACGACTCTGCCACCAGCACCAGCTTCCGGGCGGCCTCCAGCAGCCTGAAGAGCCTGCAATGGAGCAGAGGACAGTTGGATGTGCGAGACGAGGGCTCCTGGCACCTCTGCCTCCACTGCCCACTGTGCACTGTCCTGCTCCTGGCTCAGAGCAGGCCACATCTGTGGCAGCAGCCTCCCCTGTAGTGCCTGCTCCTCTCCGGTCATCAGCCCCAGCTCTGCTCTCCCTCATGACAGCTTCTCACCGGACCGATCCATCACTGCAGGCGGCAGCCAGGAACTTCCAGGGACTCGGCATCTGCTTGGTGCTGGTCCCAGGTATGACCGAGAGGGACATATACCTGCAGGAAACACACAATGCTCACCAACACCTCAGTGATGCCTGTGGCCTAGGGTACAGGAGGCCCAACTGAGCAGCCCAAGCCTAGCACAGGACACAGCTCCAAGCACTCAGAGGAAGTACAAGGAAAGACCAAGGCTTTCTCTAACCCCTAAAGCCCCTCAAGGCTCAGCCACTGGACATAGGACACCAGGGATGAGCACAGGAAGCCACACCATGTCCTTCTGCCCGCAGCCACACAGAGCAGGTATCCCAGTGCTATACCCAGCACTCTCCTGGACCATGGTCACCGTTAACCCCACCTCAAGCAGGCCCTGAGCATCACCTTGTCTCTGGGTCCATCTTGACAAGCTTGTGCCTGTTCTTCTTCCGCTCCCAGTGCTCGTCCAGCCGGTGGGAAGCCACGTGGATGACCTGGCAGCCAACAGCACCTTCGGAGGCTGGGTCCGCAGCACACAGCAGCCGGTAGCACTCAATCTGTGCCCGGCCCCCCGCAGAGAAGAGCAGGGTGGACAAACCCTCATCATCAAAGCCCTCCTCACCAGGTCCCACGGGACCAGCCAGCACCAGCGCCCTCACACTGGAAACATGGTCACTGAGCCGGGTGAGGGGCACAGCAGCCTGGGAGCACTCACTGAGCACCAGAACACAGATTGTGGTGTCCTCGCTGCCCGTGACAAAGATATTAACGGCAGCATGGCCGGGCACCTCCACCGCGCCGAGGCGCCGCACGCAGGTGATCTCCCGCCCGTGCAGTGATGGCAGCAGCACCTGCTGCTCATGGGGCTCAACCCCACGCTGGTACAGCAGCACATCTCCACACTTGATGAAAGCAACAACCTCGGCCTCGGGGCTGCTGCAGTAGCTCCAGGAGCGGTGCCCCCCACCACAGGGGATGCAGTGGAGGTTCTCACCCATCCGGCTGCTCCACACCAGGAAGTTGTCAGCATGAAAGCCCAGAACCAGCAGGTCTCCGTCTGCAGTGAAGCGCAGCTCCTCAATCCACTGCAGCCCTTTGCAGGGCCTGTGCTTCCACAGTACCTCCAGCTGCTGGTCCTGCACACGGAGCTGCCGGTACACTCCGTCTCGGCCCGTGCTGTAAATGTAGCCCCCATGGCAGGTCACTGAGGTAACCCCGGTCTTCCCGTGAAGCCCAAAGAGCACCGACAGCGGGGCCTCGAGGGGAAGAGCTTCTTTGTGTGACAAGCAAGACAGCTCCAGCTCGCGGCTGGTATCCTCATAGACTGGGCTGGTGGCATTCTCGACAACCAGGTCAGTAATGCCACTGGCAATGCTGGTGCCTTCCACAGCCTGTCCTGAGGACCTGCTACACGGGAAGAGGAGGAGGGACCCCCGGCGGTCCCCACAGAGCAGGAGCCCTCCCTGCGGCAGGAATGCTGCACAGGTATGCCAGCGCTGCTTGCAGAGCGGCAGCAGGTACCGTCCCATGACCTGTACGCGAGGCGCCCGCCCAGGCCGGTGCGTGACGTCCAGCCACAGCATCTCTCCGTCGGGCCCGGAGGCCAGCAGGGACGAGGCACCGGGGAGCAGCCCAGGGCGGGGGGCCCAGCACAGCCCGCGCACGGCCCCTTCGAACAGTCTCAGTTCGGTGGTGTCCCCGGGGCAGCTCAGGGCGAACAGCAGGAGTCGCCCATCGCCACCGGCCAGGGCACAGAGCGTGTCCTCCCCACTGGGCAGCGGGGAGGCCGCTAGCAAAGCGCGGGGCCCGCCGGCACCGGGGGGCAGCACTGGAGCCCAGCGCCCCGCCGCCGCCTCGTAGGCCGCCAGCCCGCCCGCCTCGCCCAGCACCAGCACCCGCCGCGGCCCCGCCAGCACCACAGACCGCGGCCGCAGCGGGGACCCCAGCGCCACCACCGGAGCCGCGGCCGCCCGCCGGGGCCGCCAGAGCCGGACGCCGCCGTCGTCGCCGCCCGTGGCGAGGCAGCCGCCGGCGGGACGTAGCGCCAGGGCGCGCAGAGCCCCGCGGTGACCGCGCCGGTCTCGCCACACGTCGCCACCGCCGTCCCACTCCAGGCAGGCACCGTCCTCACCGGCGCTGACCGGGCACTGACCCCGCAGCACCACGGCGGCCACCCGCGCACCGTGCCCGTAGCACACGAGCAGGCAGGAGCCGCCCCCAACCCCGTCCCCGCCAGCCAGGTCACCCACAGCCCAGAGCCGCACGCTGCGGTCCTCGGAGGAAGAAGCGAGCAGCCCCCGCGGTGCTGAGTAGCAGAGCGCCAGCACCGTACCACAGTGCCCGCACAGCCGCCGCTGCGGGACCTGGGACGCCGCCACCCGCCACACCACCACGGTCCCCATCGCCGTCCCGGCCGCCAGCGCCAGCCGCGTCCAGCCCGTGCCCGCCAGCACGGCGCAGCGCAGCGCCCCGGCCCCGTCGCAACTCGCCCGCCGCAGCCAACACCCGCCGCCCCGCCACTCGTACAGCGCCACGGCCCCGCAGCCCAGCGCCAGCACCAACCGCCCGCCCGGGACCCACCGCGCCTCCCACACCCGCGCCCGCAGCTCCCGCGCCTCGCCGCCGCCGCACACAGCCAGCCGCGCCCCGCCGGCCCGCACAGCCAGCACCGCCAGCCAGCGCCCGCCGAACACCGCCACCCGCCCCGCCGCCGCCCCGGGGCCGCGGTCCGGCCTCAGCCCCAGCACGCTGGCCTCACGCAGCACGGTCCTTCGCGCCGCTGTCCCGCCTCCGCTGAGCCGGAACGCCACCACCTCCGGGCCCGTTCCTGTGGGACACCACGTCAGGCTCCGCTGGTCCCGCCACCTCCCGCAGCCCCAGCCGGTCCCGGTGCTCACCCGCCAGCAGCACATCCCCCGCGAACTCCAGCGCCGTCACCGGCGCCACCAACGACACCGACTCCATGTTAGCAAAGGCACCTCCACCCCACTGATTGGCAGAGACCGCCTCCACTACCGCCCCGCCCGCTGCTCATTGGTCGGGTCCCCCGCAGCCCCGCCCCTAGAGCACGCGGAGGCGAGGCTCCGTCTCTCCACGCTTTATTGGTGCGCCGCGCGCCATCGCCCCCTCCGGCCCAGCGCGGGAAAAGGCCACGTGCGCGCCGCCGAGCAGCTTTTTCCCGTCAGCTCTACAGCTCCAGGTGCATCCCGCTGTACGCTTTATCCACTGTCCACTCCCCCGGGGCTCCTGGGGCTCCAGCCGCCGCGTATCGCTCCATTTCCTGCTGGAACTGCAGCTGGCGCCCCCGGTTGGGATCCACATTGATCCAGTTGTTGGCAATCCACTTGGTGCCCTGTGTGACCAGGCAGCCCCCGTGCAGGGCGAAGTCATCCAGCTCTCCTACCCAGCCTGTGGAGCAAAGCCATGTCAGGAGGGAGTGAGGAGTGCTGCTCTCCCACCCACGGCATTGGCTTGGGTTTTGGCTCAGGTGCATCTTACAGGAGTTGGCTTCTCCTGGCACCCCTCTATCTTAGTGCTACCCCGCCCTAGCACCTACAAGGAGTGCACCAGGGCAGGCTTCCCAGGTGCAAAATGCTCGTTGCTGTCTTGTCTCTACCCAGCACAAGGGGCTCTTGCATTCTGCATCCCAGCCACTGTTTTTCTCAACTCTTTCCAAAAGGGAATGGCATGGAAGAGACAGGTGTTGCTGTTAGAAAACCTGTAGAAGTCAGGCTCATGGACACATTACGGACTGCATTCTAGCAGTTCTAAATGATCCTGTCTTTACAGAGGTCTCATGTTATTTTCTGTAGCAGACTTGCATCAGCAGCCAGCTTCCATTTCGGAACAATCTGCTCATAAAAACACAACAGGGCACTTCTTGCAGGACAGCGATGATGTTGATTATTATCATCCAGCAGTCCAAACACTGGTCTTGTGACCTTCTCTGTGGATTTTCTAGCGATGGAAACATGGGCTGCTCCCAGGAGACCTCCTTCCACCACTGTTCAAAATCTGCCATCGAAATTTTCTGGAGTCACTCTTCAGCAGCCTGGGAGGTTCGTGTCAATCCCTCAGCCTGCCTGCCAGGGAAAACCATGCTGTGCTTTGGGAGAAAAACAGCCCTGAGGACACATCACCCAGCTGCGGCTGAGCTATAAAGCAGGAGCTGGCCCCAAGCATGGCAGAGCCGTGCATGGTGCAGATTGTGCCTCCCTGTGCTGCAGAGCTGATGGCTGTGCCTTTGTCTACCTCCCCTCTGGGCAACACCACATCAGTGAAACATTCTGAATTGCAGACCAAGTTCCAGTAGGAGTTTGAGCTTGCACAGTGGGACAGCAGGCAGCAGGCGATGGCTACTGCAGCCAAGGTCTTTGTTTGCTAGCTGCTAGTCCTGTCCCCTAAAAGCATCAGGAGCCACTGACCTACTGCCTGTAAACAAAGGCTTTTCAGAGTCAGGAAGCTCCTACCCGCCTGGTGACAAGTACACTCTATAGTTCCCACTAGCAGGCAGCTACCACCCCTTGGCTCCCTTTTGAGCTCCCAGCCACTGCAAGAAGATGATGGCCATCACCTCTCACAGTTCTATCCCTCCCATGAGCCAAGTCTTGAAACCAGCTCATACCTTCTCCATCTGACAGGTAGTTGTACCAGAAGACAGCAGTGCCTTGCTGAGGTTTCACTCGCAAATTGCCCTTGTTGCAGTTTTTCCGTGTATCTCGCAGGTCCACATCGTTCTGAATCAAAGACTGGCAAGAAACCACAGAGAAGGTGATGCAAACAGGGCTGGAACGAAGTGCACGCACTGGGCTGCCAGTGCTCACCCTGCCCTCTGCCTGACTGCCCCGCAGGGACAGCTCAGGGCTTTCACAACCCACCCACAGCAGCCAGTTTCAGGCCCCTGGAGGTCCATAACCTGTTTCTGAGCAGCCGCCCAGTCTTAACGCATTGCCTGACAGGAGCACAACATACCCACTAAGACTTAGTCTGAGGAAACCTGTCCAGACAGAAGCAAGCAGGACCCATTATGGCAGCAAGGCCACCAGACCACCACTTGCACCTCCCTGTGCTCGTATGAGCATGAAATGTGTTCCAGCCTCACACACCAGACCCCTTCTGCAGCCATAGAAAATAAAGACACTCAAAGACTGTCTCCCCAGGGGTAATGTATAAGTGAGATTCATTTACCATCTCTTCGTATGTCCTGTTGTCAGCTATAGGAAAGACTGTTTCGCCTCCCCCAGTCACGTTGTTCAGGTAGAACAGTACCGTCACATACCTGAAAGACAGACTGGCTGTTAGGGGACACAACTGGAACAAGAGGTGATGCACAGGGGCTGTCTATACCTTGTCCCTCCACTGTACATACAGCGGTTCCTCCAAGACATCATGAGGTATGGGATTTCTTAGAATCCCAGACTGGTTTGTGTTGGAAGGGACCTTAAAGCTCATCCAGTTCCAACCCCCTGCCACGCACACAGACACCTTCCACTAGAGCAGGTTGCCCCAAGCCCCGTTCCACCTGGCCTTGAGCACTGCCAGGGATGGGGCAGCCACAGCTTCTCTGGGCACCCTGTGCCAACGCCTCAGCACCCTCACAGGGCAGAACTTCTGCCTAAGAACTCACCTCAGTCTCCCCTCTGGCAGGTTAAAGCCATTCCCATTTGTCCTGTCCCTACAGGCCCTTGTCCAAAGCCCCTCTCCAGGTTTCTTGTCGGCCCCTTTAGGCACTGAGAGCTGCTCTAAGGTGTCCCCAGAGTCTTCTCTTCTCCAGGCTGAACAAGTCCAACTCTCAGACTGTCAAGCTCTCAGCTTTGATGATTTGCATCATCAGCTTTTCTCCAAGAACAAGACAAGGACAACAAAGAAGATCCCCACTCACTCACAGCAGTGAAGGTGTGTTTCTAGTCTCCGATGGGGATGACCCAACAGCTCTGCAGAACCACTCTGCCCTCCTTGCATGGACTCACAGGATTTGCCCACCAACCCCTTTAAACCCCTTCATGACAGTGATCTCCAGAGCGGTTTACGAGCCCACCAGCCAAGCACTGACTGCTATACGAGGTGAGGTGAAACATCTCTCCACCTCTCCTCTAGCACGTTCCAGATTGTTCCAAGGTAGACCGTACCGGCAGGAGGTCTCAAAGGGAGCGCTTTCATTGGCGACCAGCTTCGTGTGACTGCAGGCAGTCTCGGGGAAGACAGGACCACTGTCCATATGGGCATGGTAGTGCCCTCCTTGGTCATAGCGCACAACCTGGAGGGGCTCACTGTGCTCCACGATCTCGGGGGGCAAGCGAGTCAGGCGCATTACCCTGGGGAAGAGGAGAGCAGAGCAGGTGAGGGGAAAGCACCAACACCCTGTCAGCCACTACTACCAAGCAGCAAATGAATCTAGGGAAAGAGAACCCCCTTCCCAACAGACTGGAGAGATGGATGGGCTGCAGCAAGCATGCCAAGAGGCAGACTAGGTCCTTAGAGATCTGTTGGACTATTAGCATCAGCTCAGCAAGTCATTATTAATGTTACTTCAAAACCAAACAAAACCGAAGGGTGCATCACCAGCAGGACTGCTCTGAGGAAGATTTTGCTTGCTCAGCAAGATCCCTTGTGTGTGGGGCTCCCTGGAGCCTTCACGTGCCATCTCATCACTTCTCTGGACTCCTGCTCACCACCTACAGACCTTGGGACACTTAGCAAAGCACAGGGCCCCTGCTGAGAGTGAAGGAGAGACTAGCTCTAGGAATATTCTTGTCACCTAACTCACCTTTCCCTGTTGCCTTTTCAGCAGCCTCCCTCCCAGGGCAGAGGGGCACTGGAAGTGACCAAGGAGACCGGAGCCCTGCTGCTCTGGGATTTTTTCCGCTGCTACATCTGAGATCATCCCCAAGGCAAGCAGGTACGTCTCGAGACCTGCCAAAGAATACTCAGAGCTCTGAGAATCTGGACCGGTAAAGCCCTCAGGGCAGGTGCAAGGGGAATGTGGCACCCAGGCAGGATGGCAAAGCCCCTCTGAGCACCGCACAGTCCCAAGGGAGGATTAACAGCCTCCTTCAGCGCTATGTCTTCACATCCTCATGTAACAGAAGCTAAATGAAGAGCATAAAAGCAGTGTGCTGATGCCTGTGTGTGCTGGCTAGCTGGCACGGAGAAGGTGGCAACCACAGTCTGCTCTAATCAAGGCAATATGTGACCCCATTCTCCTGCTGGAATGTCCTGAAGAAAAGGAGTAGCCAACAGCCGTTTTCAAGCCTCGGGACAGATTTTACCCACCCATGTTCTGGGCGAGGACCAGCACCACAAGAACAAGAGTCTCCAGCCAATTATCTGAAACTCACCACAGCTAAATGACTTGGCCTGTGTGCCGGGTTTCAATGCTTCCCGGTACCAAATCTGAGATGAAGGGAAGGGTAAGAGGTTCTCCTCTCTGCCATGAGCTGCCCTGTGATACGTGTGCTCAGAGGATTAAACTAACTTGGCTTCCTTGAGGTGAAGTTGTGCTTGTTAAAAAATCAGCTCTAAACAGCCAGATTTCAGTGAAATGTGTGAGTAACTAAAGCAGATGACAGCAACTACTGGCACCCAGACAGCATTGGAAATGGGCAGTTTCTCCCAGTAAGCTCATTTACTAATTAGAATGAATTACTCCATATAATGCCAAGTCTTCCTGGTTTTATAGGGCTGTTCCCAAAAGTGAATGGAGATGCTGCAAGGGTTGATTTTTCTTTTTCCTTCTCCATGGGACAGTAAAAAACTTTGTTCTAATGAAAACCTCCTCCCCACATTTTGGAGCTCTGTTCATTGCTCTTTATACTCCAAAGACTTTTCACACAATCAGGAAGTGTGAATATTAGCAAGCCTGCTGCTGCTTTTCCCAGCACATGTGCTCCTTGTGCCTACACAAACCCAACCACACCTTGGCTGCCTGGTCCTTACCTTTGCCGTATGGATCTCATCACCTGGTGAGCCCCCTCGCCCTGGTACAGCCATGTGTGCTGGCTGTTGCGCACCAAGTCACTCATCTTCACTTTCTGGCTTCCCATGTACTTGTGGAAATCATGGATATTCAATTGTTTGAACTCCTCCAAACTCAGCACACCTATGAGAAGAGAGAAAAAGCTGGTGACAGTCCCGCAGGTAATAAATAGTTCCTGGTGTTCTGTATCCAGAGAAGCCACCAGCTGAGGGCACTGCAGAAACTGCCTTCCTCAAACCAACCCCATCCACACTGGGGATCAGGTCGCAGAGACCAGAGGATGCTGCCCAGCAGCCAGCACACATCACGGGCTGCAAGCAGAGCTCACCCAGACAGTGAACCCAGTGCTGCTGTGGTGCCAGCTTATCTCTCTTGGACAACAGCACTCAGCCACCAGGGTCAGCCTGGGACAGGTCCTTGGATGCCAGTGGTCATAACCAAATTATCCACCATTATTATTTCTAGTGTCTCCCTGTCCCCACATTCCCCCTGCTCCACAAGGTCTTTCATGACGCAGTGCCACATCCAGGTTGTGACCTGGTCTCCTGGTGTCACATACCAATCTAACAGAAGGAAGCAGCACTCTGGAAGTAAGGTCCTGCCAAGAGCATGTTAACAGGACCTTACATTTGTTAATGTCTGGAATGGTGGAAAAGCCATGGAGGACTCAAACATACGCTCCTACCCCTGCCAAGAATGCCACCGGTACCCTCTGGATATTTAGGCATTCACACGGGTACTGCTTCAACTCCAAAGCAGCTCCTCCTGAGCAGCTCTCAGTGCCAGGTCACTGGAAGACAGCGTGCAGAGCCTGTGTGTTCACTTAATTTGATTAGGAAATGGAGAGTTGCTTAATTGAGGCCACACTAATTAGAGCAGCAGAAGTTAGAATACACATCCGGACCAGCAGGAGCCCTTGGGAGACCAGGGCAGGAAGAGCAGAAGTGTCCTCACAGAATACAAGAGTTTGCAGTGGCAGAGATGGGGGTCAGTAGCAAAGGCTGACCAATAAGACCATCTCCACTTACTGAGGCCTGCCAGGGATGTGGGGCTCCAGAAGTCTCCATGAAAACAGGGTGGAAGTGGAAGGCACCTTAACACCTGCAGCCCACATAACAAGGGCTACATAGTCAGAAACAGAGCAGTCTATCAGACCACAGGAGCACACACTGAAAATCATATTATAGCAGGGCATGAACCAAGGCAGGTCTGAGAGGTGAGAGGGAGCACAGAGCTGTGTTCTGGTCCTACTTCTGCAAGATCCAAGCCCAGGAGGTAGAACTATCTGCAGCTAGACTGGTGTCTACTGGTTTACACTGATTTTACTTTTCTGCCAAGTCTCTAAAGCAGTGTTATATTCCTTTGAAGAGCACAGGTAGAGAAATGAGCCTGGGCAGGAACATTGCTCCTGCTTTGCCCCACATGGCTGTGCGAGGTGTCAACCGTGCTGAAGGTGAAGGCATTCCCATGGAGCTGCTCTTACCATTCCCATCAGGATCAGCCTTGACAGCAGTGTACATCTCCCGGATGTTTTCGGGGGTCATCCACCTGCCGTTCCCAAGCCGGGTGTGAGTCAACACCTGAAATTCATAGATGGATCAACACCAGGCACTGGTTTCTTGTACTACCACAACCCTACAGCTGCCCTGCTTGAGGCCTGGTGGGCTCTGCTCTGCAGCCAGGCATCAGCATGTCTCTGCAGAAAGACGACTTCAGGGAGAGCCATCTGGCAGCCACACACAGCATGTGGCTGATGAGTGCTGTTATTTCCAGTTTAGGTCATGGCAAATGACTGCTGGGACATTGTTAACCAGTCCTGAAGTTCCTTCTCTTGAAGGGAAAGTAAAACCCACAGCACCAGGAACGTTTTACCCAGCATATTCAAAACACATCTGCCAAGGACCATCGCTGCCTCCCAACAGCAGCACAACTGCTGTATACCTCCCTAGAAACTTCCATGTGGAAGGCCAGCACAAGTCTTGAGACATAGAACTAAGCAAGTACTGACTGGAATATACTGGGGTCTGGCCCTACCCAAGCACATGCGTAATGAAGAGACCATCTGAGCAGGAAACCTCTGAGAAGGTGCCCAACAAACATTCCCAGGTCTGTCCCACACTCTACCTCTTTGAGCTGCAGCTGCCCATCCTGGTTGTGGTCCAGCAGATTGAAAATGTCCATCTGGCTGATTTCTATCATTTCCATGGCTTCCTCATAGTCATCCGTTGGTAGGATCTGGCTCTTCTGCAGCCCCTTCAGCTGGGCCAGATGGATGATGAGCTTGCACTCCTCCTCTGTCAGGAAGTCAGGAATTTCTGCAGCAGAAGCGTGAGCAGCAACAGACACTGAGGAACTGTTACAGTGAGACCCCAAACCAATGGCAGGGCACTCAGAAAAAGGAGAAAAAAAAGGGTGTGAGGAATTCAGGAACTGACTAAGTTTGGGGCATTCAAACACATCTGAGCACACACCATACACCTGTGCTGCTGGGGGTGGGTATTTTTACAGCAGCAATTCATAAATGTTTGGATGCAGAGGTCAAGCCCTTAAACTCTCTCACAGATACCACAATGGACAAAGGAGTGAACAAACACCTGCGTATCACCACATATTATCACTTCAAAGGTGACATGTGGATCACAGTCTGGGAACTGCTGCTCTACAGGAAGAGAGGCGAGAAAAACTTTGTGGTGGGCAGTGGTGACTGCAGGGTTTCAGGCTTCTGTAGTCTCACGTGGAGAGGACAGCGCTGTGACCCTGGCACAGTGAAACCCAAAGAGCAAGGAGAAGACTTTCAAGCTTACTCCCACTCATTCACTTGCTTCCCCACTAAAAAGGGTCTTTAAGTGCACTATTAAAGGGGAGGGCACTGCACATGGTGGACGCCACATTCCATACTGAGGTACTACCTGGGTGTAATCAGCTTTTTTTTGCAGCACAAAACTAGCAGCAATCAGGCAATAGTAGGAGCCCAAGCAGATTTAAATGCAGATAAATGACTAAGAAATTTCTCACTGCATAGTGCATGGGGCACTCGCAAAGTGCTGACAAGGTCTTGTTCCACAGCAGTTAATGCTGTGAGGTTGAGAAGATCCTTCTTGCTGGTGTCTGCCACTCCCGGGTCAATCTTGTTACTGAGGCTTTTGAAGGTGGAAATCAAAAACATCACAGCAGGACAGGTTTAAGTGCTCCTAAGCCAAAGGTCCTGCTCTCCAAATTGCAGCTCCCTAGAGCTCCTGCAGGTATGTGCCATGGACACATTACATCTCAACTACAGCAACCCTCAAAGCATGGAAAACAGTAATTAGTTATTTCTATGACCTGAAATCAACCCTATCAGCTCAAACTGTCAATGAGCAGTTGGCTTCTTCCTAAGTACAGACCAGAACTAGCCCTGTGGAAAACAAGCTGTTCCTGGGAAGCCCCAGCAACACAATGCAGCTGCCTGTATCCGTGACACCCACTGAGGAAACAAATTCCACTACTGGCAGTGCATCCCAAAGGATGCTTCAGAGCCAGAGCTTCCACTGACCGCTTTGAACCCCATAGCACACCACCAGAATGAACTGTGCTGGCAAGCAATGCTCCCAGTGTTTCCAGTTCCGCAAACTGGGCTATAGTAATGATAGCTTCTGGAATCTTAATTATGTGCTGGAAGAAGGACAATCCCTCTCTCCAGAAGGATTTTTGAATGAAGGAACAACTCTCTTAACCGGAAACCGTGCTCTGTCACACAGGCTGCGGGGTGAGGGGGTCCAGGAAGGTGTTGCCAATCCCATCTGCAAACAACCTGGCTCCAGAGCTGCAAATTAGTTCCTCTCTACCCTCAGCTCTCCCAAACAGTTAACTTCTGGCTGTGAGACCATCCTATCTCCCTGCCCGCTCAACAATAGATCCTGCTAAACAAATGCCTCTTAATTGACTTTGACTTTGAGCTTTTACAAAAAAACAAAAGAGAGGAAAACATTGGGCCTTATGAAATAATGACTAATCCTGGAGCCAGAGAAAGGGGAAGGGTTAGAGCATTGGTGTCAAACAGAGATTCAATCTTGGCTGAAAGAGCTCCAAGACACATGGGCCAAATCATTCATCCCTCCCCAAGTGCCCTCATTTCCACACCTGCTGATCTAAGCCAAACCCCTGCTAAAATCCAAACAATCAGGGCCGCTGGCAAATGAAAACTGGAGCATTGTCTTCCCCATGAGGGCTCTGAAAGGGCCGCACTTAATGAGGATAGATTGACAGAGAGGTGGCTCCTAGGCTATAAAAGGCATCCCACAGTCAGAGGCAGCTCAGTCTGGGGTGTGCTGCCTGTCTTCCTGCTCCAAGAATGATCACAGCCCACCACAGGCACCCCTTGAGGCTGGGTGGCCCATGGCTGCTGGGCGTCCTGGTGTACCTGCTGCTGTGGGGGTCTCCAGGGGCCTGGGCGAGCTATCTGAGGAGATCCTCCAGCTGCACACCCATCCCGCCCGGCATGGCCTTGTGCTACAACATCGGCTACTCCGAGATGAGGATTCCCAACCTGCTGGAGCACGAGACCATGCCAGAAGTGATCCAGCAGTCCTCCAGCTGGCTGCCCTTGCTGGCCAGGGAGTGCCACCCAGACGCTAGGATCTTCCTCTGCTCCCTCTTTGCACCAATCTGTTTGGACAGGTAAGATGTTTTTACAAGTTATTCCTGCTGTCTTAAGTAACTCCCTGAAGAGCACAACTGCATTTGACTTTCGAGAGAACCCACGTCCAGTGCGACCAGTGCTGTCCCCAAGAAGCTGTGTGTCCCTCTTGGCAAGGGGCAATTGGACTTCCCACGAGGGACCATCCCTCTGAAAGTGAAACATGAGCATTCCATCTCTCAGGAGCAGGAATATTATGTTCCCTGCTGTGGGATTTCCTGCTCTCCCACCCCAGGCACTGTTGCCATCTCCCCCAGCCACCCCTCTCACACACCACAGTAGCTGCTGGTACCCACCAGCACAGCCCTGAGCAGCAGCAAACCCCTCAGCCTGCTGCCAGGAGGAGCCCAGAGGTGCTGCAATCCCCATCCCCTCCCCAGGGTCATCTACCCCTGCCGCAGCCTGTGCGAAGCCGTCAAGAGAAGCTGCGCTCCTGTCATGGCTTGTTATGGGTATCCCTGGCCCGAAATCCTCAACTGCAACAAGTTTCCTGCTGATCACGAGCTGTGCATTGCAGCAGTGTCCATGGATGAAAACTCCACCAGTAGGAGAAGTAAGTTTGGTTCTTTTCTCCTATGTTTTCCCACAGGCAACACTGAAAGCTCAGCGGATCAGCCTGCCCAGAATTTCTGGGTTTAAGCTGTGTTTAAAGAAGTTATAAATTCCAGTTTTGTTCTCTGTGGGAGCGCCACTGTGTCTGGAAAATTAGTGTAACATTGACTGCAGCTTGTTCCCCTCTCTGCTGTATTCATTAGCTCCCTGGGTGCCATCAGACCACGCAGGGTTTGGGGCAAGGGGAAGGAATTGCTGTCAAAAGCCTAATGCCCAGGAACAGCGTGAGAGCTCATGGCATGCAGGCTCCAGGCAGTGAGACGTGTTTCCAGCAGGGCTCTGGAGCTTCAGCCCTCATCTTTCAGCTGTGTCCAGGGTTTAAAAACATGCAAAAAAGGAGAACTGTTTTGTAAGCCTTGTTTTTAAACATTAGGAAACACCACTAAGGGGCATGAGCCTCTGCAGACATATCACACCAGAAAAAAAGAATCTCTAAGACTGAAAGACTGAATTAAACACTCACATACTGGTGAATACTGGGGTAGATCCAAGAACAGCTAAGGGCAGGACTTATGCCTCATTTCAGCATCACTGGATGTAGTCTGGCCATACCAGTGGTTTTACTGTTTCACCCACACTAGGAGATCTTCACCAAGCATTTTCACTGCTGCTTTAACATGCAGCAACGCACACAAGCCTAAACAAAGCACAAGAAGCAGCATCTTCCACAGCCCCAGAAAGGAGAACTTGACATTTCCCACCCTGGCAATCTGAGATGTCCTGGGTAGCTCAGGAGGAAGCACCACTCAGGAACAGCAAGCCACCACTTGCAGATATCAAAAGTATCATTATGCCTTTTCCAATGATGCTTGACAAGGGTGTTCTAACTAGATTTCTGTTGCAGCAGTACCCCGAGCCAGCTGCAAGGACTGTGAGCTTGAGGAAGCCAGCACTGCCAGGGAGATCCTGGAAAACATCTGTGCCAATGATTTTGGTGAGTACAACCCCCCCCCATTCTCTCAGTTGCTGCTGTTCCCTCTAGCAGCCATGTACTGGCATGGACAGAAAATGGCTGCAGCTTTTACAGCAGATGCCAGGGATTTTAGGTATTAAGCATTCCCCAGGGAAGTGGTGAAGTCAGCAACTCTGGAAGTATATAAAAGTTGTGTAGATTTGGCACTGAGGGATATGGTTTAATGGTGGACCTGTCAGTGCCGAGTTAACAGTTTGACTCAATGATCTTAAAGGTCTTTTCCCACCTAAATGATTCTGTGATTCTAAAAATGGTGTTCAGTACTGGAAACTCACTTCAAATGAGAACTTTTATAAGCTCACTGCAATTACAAGGGATGGATGTGTCACCACATTACAGGAACAGCATGAAAGCCTTGCGTTGCTGTGTGATTAAGTAGTTAAGAGCTATATGGAAAGTAAATAGAACTAACATCTCTTTTTCCAACCCCTATAGCAGTGAAAATACGAATCCTGAGGAAGAACACCACAACTACCATCTCAGACTTCGACCTGGACACCTCCAGGGTGGAGGTCCTGAAACATGGTCCCCTTCTCAGAACTGAAGTCCCCGGCAGGCTCCAGCAGTGGCTGGACATAGACGCGACCTGCGTCCACAACATCATGAGAGGCACGCACACAGGGGTCTTCGTTGTAAGCGGTGAAGTGCAGAGTGACAAAGTGGTGGTGAACAAGGCCTACGCCTGGCAGAAGAAGAACAGGAACCTGCACCAGGCAGTGCGGAGGTGGAAACATCACCGCTGCCCCGACCAGGCTGGCCGGAAGGTCTGAAAGGTCTGAATTCCAGCAATAAGAAACTGCTCCCTTCCCTATGGCTAGAAAACTCCTTTCCCTGGAAGTTGGTGTTTTCGAGATGTACAGTCAATATTTTTAGGTGATTCAAAGCAGTCATAGTCCACAGATAGGGCCTCACAACACATTTACAGATCCCTGTTTTACTGAGACAGAGCTTGAGGGTGCAGGTTTAACATACTCCTCACACAAGGCTCTGTAGATCCAGGACTTGCAGTGGATGGCTTTGTATAGGATCCAAGGTCACAACAAAACCAAACTGAACTCTGCAGGCAAGAGATCTCTGGTGCCAGTTTCTCCTAGATCTTGTCATCGAAGTTGATAGCCATTTCAGCTTTATTATTTGAACCAGAGCCACTGATGCTGTCCAAGTGCCTGCTTGCTTTCTGTTCAGGGAGATTAGACAGAAGTCCCCCTGACTGCTAAGAGATGCTGTTTGTGTAATGGAAAAAATACTCTTGAACAGTCTGAGATAAACTAAGGGGGAGACAACCCACCCCTGCAACGTCTGGCCCCTTAAAGAATTAGCTGTCTCTTCAGCTTGCTGCATGAGAATTGATGAGCATCTTCAGAGGTAAAAGAAACAGCTGTTCTCAGGCAGGAAAGGCAAACAGCAAAGATAGCTGAGGGCTTCTGCATAACAGGGAAAACCACTTTTTAATACCAGAAATTCAGTTTGGATCCCCAGTAATTGGGTTATCAAGATCTCACAAGAGCCTTGAGAAAGAGCAGAGCAGGAATGAGACATCAGCCATTGAAACCTCTGCTTTTGTGGGCAACAGCAGCTTTGCTTGGGACTTGGAGTGAGCCCTAATCCCAGCACAACAGCAGCTACTTGCAGCTGTGATAAGGGAATGGGAGAGAAACATTACACAGCTGTCTGGCCTTCCTTCTGCATGCAAAGACAGAAAAGGTTGAAAAAGTCAATCTCGCCAAGTTCTCTGAAGCTCACTCTCACCCAGGTAAGCAGGGACTAGTTCTCTGCTGTAGCTCTACAATCCAGATCAGAGAGCAGAAAACAGCAAATCCCCAAATAAAGAAACAAGTTGGATTTCTACGGCCTAACAAAAATTAAGTGGAAAGTTTTCCACACTGGATTAAACTTGGGAAAGGGGAAAAACAGCTTTTCTGTGTGGTTCATGCTGCCTGAGGTCTTGGTTGTGGGCAGCCATCCGCTTTGATGGAGACACATTGCCTCCCTCTGCTTGTAAAGCACACCAACAACCCGTGATGTGATCTCTTCAGCTTCAGCGTGGGCTGAGACGAGCCCTCAGATGCTCACACTGAAATTCAGCTGCGCTTGACATTTGTGCAGCAATTACTTCTACTCCCTGAGGATCTGAAGAAAAACACAGCCAGATTTCCTAGGTTTTATTCCTCCCTGCTACCTTGTCTTGCAAACTGCCATCCAATCCACAGAATCCACTGTCAAGTAATCCTGGCAATGGCAGCATCTTCTGAACTATGTTTGGAAAACACACCAGAACATATAAAAGCTCTGAAGGTTGAAAACGCTTTGCCTGATATTTGTTTTCTATTAATAGGATTATTTGATCACTAATGTTGCCTAACTAAAAAGTGCACAGATGGTCTGACTTACGAGCTTTAGAAAAGATGTCTCGTAGCCAGAGGCAGGGGAAAAAATAGGGCAGGGACTTTTTCATAGCTCCATGAAATACATCTGGGTTCAATGCAGATGACTTACATTTAAAAGAGAAACCACAAGTTCCCCTATGGTACCGGTGCCATACTCCAAAGCACAGAGCTCACATTAAGTCATAAATGAGCTGTCCATTGCTTTGGTCCCACTACAGCCCAAAGAAAAGATCACAGACCAGCCGCTTATTTCCTTAAATAGGCTCTCACATACCACAACACTTTGTGTTAAGTAAAATCTCAGGAAATTTAAGAGTCCTTGTTTGCTAGTGACTTCTGGGTTTAACACAATCAAGTTAAATACACACTTCCACTAATTTAAACAACAGACATAAAATAAATCAGGGGTATTCTTAAACCAGATGATTTAGATTGGTTCTGTTTGCATAGATAGAGAAGCCTCTGGAAGTCTTTTAAAGTCAGAGCTGGCTCCTGGCAGGTTTATCTGGGAAATAAGAGCTGTCCTGCTTGAAGTTTCTAAATAGGGGCCTTCTTATCAGAGACGAAGGAGAACAGACTCTGTGGGTCAATGTCTGTCAGACACCATCCTCAGGGAGCGAAGCTTCCCCTGGAACCAATGGTGGTGCCGGAGTGACAAGTTAAAAGTTGTGGGATTACTGCTGCCAGGACCAACCTGCCTCTGAGCAGCTTCAGCACCATCCTCACAGGCCAGGATCAGCTCTTGTACTTAACTGGTACCTGTAGGGCAGAGAAGGTGGAAACAGTTTTCCCAAGTGAAAACCAGAAACTGTGGTTCTCGTGATGGCACTGGGCTTGTGATCGCTGTGGGGTGTCAGCTCCGGGCTGGTGTGTCAGACAGAAACCCACTCTGAAATTTGCAAACCATAAGTACAACATATGTGGAGATGCCAAAAGAACTCTATATATTTCTTCCAGATACTTATTGCATTGAGTTTAGTAAGAACCCTACCTGATTTATGGCCAGGCTTTCAGTGTCTACATTCCATTTGCAATTGGAAAAAACCCTCTTTATGTATTATTGAGAAAACATCTAAAAGACTCTCAGTGTTGGTTTTCAGGCAACAGGTTTTGACGTTGCAGTAGTAGGATTTTTGTAATCATCTGTCCCCCAAAAATCAATTTGTATATTCTCAGTGGATGTCCAGAACACAAGAGTCCAATTAATGAGACTTTACCAGTCATCACAGAAAGGTAAAGAAGGTTTTAAAACATCTGGAAGAAGGATATTGTGTGGCTGCTTATCAGAGCACCCAGAAATATACGTAAATCTGGAATAAGATGTAAAATGGTGGCAGACATTAAATCTGTCAATTCCCCTGTCAGTCATTTTCTCAGCACTGAAGCACCAACACTAAATTGCTTTATCACCATTCGTTACCAAAACTTTGGGGATCTCTTGCACATTCCTAATACTGAGAAGCTTCTTCAAGGTCCTCTTCAGCGATCTGCTGCCTGTTCATGGAATTTTAAAGGGAATCTGGAAAACCTGGAAAGGTTTATCTTCGAAATCTTTCTAAGTAGACCAGCCAGAAAAGTCACCCCTGCAAATACCGTATCAAAATGCCTTGAACAGAATCACACTCGTTATAAGGCAGCGCCGAGGAGAAGCGAATACGGCAGAAATAGTTTCCCCCAGGTAAGGCAGCGGGAGGGAGGCAGGACCCCCCATCCTCGGAACCCCCACCCCTGCCGGCCGCTGCCAGCCGGGAACGGCGGGCACCGCTCCCGCAGCCCCGAAACCGGGTGACGGCCGCGCTGACACCGCAGGGGAAGGGGGAGAGGAGCCGATCCGCCCGCTCCCGGCGTGCCCGGTGCCCGTCGCTGCGGGGCCGGTACTCACCGAAGAGCAGCGGCTTGAGGCTGAGGGTGCGCACGGCGTGGACCCGGCCCGGCACCAGCTCCACCCGCTGCGTGTGGCCCACCTGCGGGGGGAGAGCAGCGGTGAGCGGCGGCCGCAGCCCCGGCCCCAGCATCACCCCCCAGGCGCGGCCTTGCCTTGATGCCCTCGAGGCGAGGGAGGGCGCGGGCGGGCGGAGGCGGCGGTGGCTGGGGAGCGGCGGGCGGCCCGCCGGGCTCTCCGGCGCTGAGGTGCACGAAGAGCAGCAGCCCCAGCACGTTGAGGACGTAGAGGTGGGCGAACACCATGAGGACGAGGAAGTACGGCCGCGAGCACACGGGCCTCGGGCGGCCGCCGGGCGGGCCGGGCAGCGGGGGACCCTCCGACCGCGAGGCTGCCGGCGCCGCCGCCGCCATCGCGTTCCCCCCGGCCCGCCAGGCCTCGCAGCGTCACCACGGCAACCGGCCGGCGTGCTGCGTCACCTCGCCGCGGGGGCGTGGCGATGGCGGCAAAGAGCCCCCATCCCATCCCATCCCATCCCGTCCCGTCCCGTCCCGTCCCATCCCATCCCCTCCCGTACCATCAAGAGCCAGGACACCTCCGGAGTTAGAAATCACGATTTATTTCAAATAAACCATGGGCACACCGCTGGCAAAATGTCTCCCGGGTAGTTTTTCTGCCCCTGGCCCTCTCCGGTGCCTGCAAAGGAAAGCAAGGGGCAGCAGCACTCCGTTAGGGTCACCCCCAGCCTGGAGCAAGGGAAGGCATTCCCAGAACAAGTGCCACATTTAAAAATAAAGTTCTATTTTATTATTTTTTCCCCCACTTGCTTAAAAAATCATAAAACTTGAGAATGCGAGAGTATAGTACAGAAACCTCCTGCAGCCCCAGCCCTGCAAAGGCAGGAACAGCAGTCATGCAGTTCGTGGTATCCATAGAAAACATTTTGTTACAGTCTGGGAAGCCTGAGGACTATTAGAGATGAGGCAGTCAATGTACTAACACGAGCGAAACTGAAATAAAGAGAATGGGATGCAAGGATGGAGGTGTCAGACTGGTGTGGGGACCAGAAATGGGTGGGAAAACTAAAAGTTGTAGCAGTAACGGACCAAAGGGAAGCTGTACCTGGGAATTAAGGGCTCCTGAGATGCCTTCTACTCACCTACAGTCATAGAATCATGGAGTGGACCTTAAAGCTCATCCAGCTCCAAACCCCTGCCACAGGCAGTGACACCTTCCACTAGCCCAGGTTGCATTCCTTCACCATCCTCATAGTGAAGATTTTATTTCTAGTATCTAACCTAAATCTATGCTCTTTCAGCTAAACCATTTCCCCCATGTCCTGTCACTACATGCTGTTGTAAAATCGTGTAACCTCACTGACACAAAAAGAGCTGTGTTCCTACTAGAGGAGAAAAACGTGGCCTCATCTTTTGGTGTTGAGAATTCCAGTCTCCTCCCTGTCACCCGCCTCGCTGGCAGTGTAAGTCACTCCACACAAGGAGTCAGCAGTTCCCATGCTCTGCAGGTTTCATTCCAGAGCCTATGACTTTCTGTATGACACTACAACAGCAGTCACTCACCCTGCCCAGGCTGCATATCAGTCCTGTTGCATTCCAGAGTATGCAAACAGGATCTGTGCATGCAAAGCAGGACTTCAAGCACCTTCAGAACAAGTGTTTTGATTTCTTTCCGAATAAATGGAACTGGTTTCAGAAAATTAGAAGAATTAGGGGGGACACTGTGCAATAATTATTACTGTTCCTTAGCAAAGCATCGTGGCAGCCTGCTCAGAAAGTCTGGCCACAGCTGTATGGTTGGGCTTGTCTATAAACAAGGATTCATAGCAAAGCATTCTGTGGGAGTACGGGAAAGGGAGGAAGGGCAGCAGGCAGGGAGGGAGAGAAACAAAACCCCATTCTTATCTAGCTCAAAGCGGGACATAACAGCAGGGAGAGTTCTTTGGGATTAGGGAACTCAACATACTTGTTCTGCAAAATCTGGTGTTGTGATAGTTACATTTAGACAAGAACAACAGCAGCTTTTATCCTAATTAGTACTTTGCACATTACAGTTTTAAAGAACAGTTTAAACATTGATTCTAGGCACTGCAAACTGCTGGGTCTTGGCAAGCCTTACGCCATACTGTCCCTTTCCCTGAGTGCCGTGTGCCCAGACTTTGACAGTCGTTTGGGAAAAGGAGGGGAACAGAGAGTCTGATCTTTAGAATATACAGGGCACAAAGAGGCTGCTGCTGGGAGCAGAGGACGGAATGATGTCAGGAGGCAGTGGCTGGAGCAATGACAGAATACAAAGACCATGGTTATGGAGCCCTCTTCAACAACAAGCAGCACTGCCGCCAGAAACCACAGGCTCCCTCCCGGTCCCTACCCTGCTCCCTGGCTCCAGCTCTGCAACCCCACTCTACCTTCAGCTGCCTCTGTTATAACTCCCACTCCACTGCCAGCAGCTCCTTGGCAGTGAATTCCTCCATTCCCTGAGGATACATCCTACACCAGGGAAGGCAGGGAGGGAGGAAGGAAAGGGCCTCTCAGTTTGAAATGTTCTGCTGTGTACTAAAAGCACAGCCACAGCATTAGCTCCTACAACAGCGACTCCTCTTGTAACTGCTTGTTGAAATGCATCTGTCCAGTTACAACTGCTGCAAATCACAGAAACCCAGGATGGTTTGTGTTGGAAGGGACTTTAAAGCTTATCCAGTTTCAACTCCTGCCATGGGCAGGGACACTTTCCACTAGAGCAGGTTGCTCATGTCACAGGTATATGAAAAAGGTTCCAACAGTTCGCTTATTCTGACATGCATTAATTTAGCGCTTCCACTCCCCTCCAGTTTAATCTTTACCAAGTGACATTGTATAAGAGTAGTACAGGGATGCATCAAAAGCAACACTTCCACATATAGCATGGAAGACAACCCCATGAGTTCCCCACAGAGGTGAAGATTTCCTCAGATCAGACTCCAGCTTCACCTTACTGGCTGCAAACAGCATGTTCCTGGAGCAGGCGACATACATGCCTGTGAAATCTTAGCATGAGGCCTGCTTCTTGCAGCAAACAGGCAAAGCTCAGCATTCAAGTAAACCTTTTCCATGTTAACCCCTATTAAGATGAACTAGGTTTTCATATTTTTATTTTAGTGTATATTTTACATTAGAAAAAAGAATGTTAATAAAAAAGCTCCACATGCTCCTAACAATCAATTTTTCTGATAAGTCCCCACCAGTATCAATACTAATATACAAATAAATTAATTTTGCTAATTTTTCTGCCTTGCTTGGTGCAGGCTCTGCACAAGCAGTGCACCTGTATTCAAGTGTCCATCCACATTGCCAACATGGGCCAGGGAGTGTGTTGTACATAATTCCTTCCTCCTCATAATGTAGCAGTGTTTAGTCTCATCCTCATGAACGGGATCAGATTTTCTGAGCCATGTTACCCAGCAGGCACAAATAATCTTTACCAGGCTGCAAGGCACTGTTATAACATCGATTGTTTCACTCCTCAAAAGCCCCAAGCCTCGATTAACAACTGTATGCTACTATTCTCTCATCACTCACTTTGGCAATACAACATCCTCCCCACAAAAACAAGTAAAGCAAAAAATCTATATGGAAGACCTAAAAATTCATCAAATGCAGAATCTGACCTGACTCTGGGCATATCCCCCAGTGTAGGTCTCTCCCCTACAATTCCTCTGTTTGCTTTTGTTGGTTTAACAAGATTTTGCACATTTGTTTGACAAGAAGAGATGCCACATGTCATTATCCTAAATCACAGCCACTGCTGGTACTGTTGGGTCAGACACAGCAGCAGCCACTCTTAACACCAGCCACTCTCCTCGTGCAGTGACAATGCTATAATGCCCTGGTTAAAGGAGCATCGGGAAATAGCCAAGATTTTGTATCCTCCTTCAGTGCCTAGGAGGATTTTTGGGTCAGAGGAAAGGAGAGGGGGGTAAAAGCCCATTAGATATACAAGCAGATTAAGGAAAAACACTCCACTGCCAATTTACTTTTAAAAAGGGTTGTGTGTTATTCTAAGGTTTGTCTGTATAATTGTACAACCGTTGAAAATTACATAAATTGTAATGATCTAATACTATTAACAGCCATTCAGAGAAAAACTCCCTCCCCTTCAGAAACCATCAAGGGCAGGAGGGAAATGTCCCAAGAAATATGCCAATCTGAACTCTGGCCTCTAGCCTGGCAGAAACAGAAAAAGAAAGATAAAAGAACAAACTGGACTAAGATGTGGTGTTTGCATGTGTCTGACTTGCAAGGGGAGGGGTGGCTTTGTCCTTGGCCGTGTTATCCCAGAGGCAGTGCCTGCTTATCCTGGTGAAGCTGCCATCACTTCACTCGTTGCTCTCACCCCTGCACTTTGTCACTTCCTCTTGACTTATGTGTCATGGAAGTCTTTCAGCAGGGTCCTCCGTCTCTGCTCTGCTATGTGCATCTGATTCTCTAAGTCCTGGTAAAACAGAAGGTAGAAACTGTCAGCACAAGTTCACCAGAGAAGAAGAGCTCATTTTCTTTAGGGAGAGACTAAGCTCCAGCCTGAGAAGCACCAAGCTTCATGCACCACATGCACTCCGGATCACAAGATTGCAGATCCTTTTCCCTTTGGCAAGGGCTCCCTCTGCAGTTACCTGGCCCCTACTCTGTCTAGAAAGCTACACACTTAAGGAATCTGCTCTTCACCAGAGGGTTACATGCAGCTTCCTCTAGAGCTTTGCTGGTCCTGTTTCAGTCTGCAGGAGATTTGCTGCAGCCCTCTCCCATTAGGCAGTGAGCACTTCACTTCTACATCTGCTGGCTAAAGGTGTCTTTCTGGATGCAGTTTCTCAGAATTCTCACTTTAATGCCTTAGCAGTGTGAAGGCCAAACAAAATCTGGCCAACAGGCTCAAGCAAGCAGAACACTCACCCCTCTGTCATAGCTGTCTGCTCGCTCCACCTTCCATGAGAGATTTTCAATTTCAGCTTCCAGCTGGGCCTGCTGGTATTCAAACTGCAGAAGGAAAAATCGGAGACAGCAACAGGAAACTAGTTTAGTGGAGCAGTTTCATACCACACACTACACTTGAGAGCAGACAAATGTGTTCTGCTGACAGTTGTGCTGGCAAAACAGGTTTGTGCCTCCTCCTTATCCACCTTCAGCTAGACAGCATCACTCCTTCCAGCAGCTTCTTGTGTAAGCATTTCCCAACCTGCACCACTGAAAATTAATCCAGTTAGCCCAAAAACACCGCAAGTGACAGATAACTCCTCACTCGGCTTATTTTGCCACAAACAGGTCACAAAATGCTCTTGTGAGCAGCTCTGCAGGTAGAGCAGAGGGATATTAGGCAGGAGTTCTTCCCTGTAAAGGTGGTGAGGCGCTGGCACAGGGCACCCAGAGAAGCTGTGGCTGTCCCATGCCTGGCAGTGCCC